GTGTCGATTGCGAAGTTGTGCTGAGGAGGTTTTGTACAAATCTCATTTTTGGTACTTTGTCGATGAGAGAATAGAATAGAATAAACGAAATCCTGTGAAAACCCAGTCTGTTGGAATCATTGTCTAACGGCCACTGATTCCGTCCGACCAATACGAACCATCCTAAAAGGACAATTTCTAATATCCTTTTTTTTCATTTTTAATTTTCCTGTTTCGCGACGGTCAAGGTAGTTTGCGGGTAGCTATTAAAGTACAGAGACGTACGAGTAATACTACCGGCCACGCCAGACCATCGACAGGATCTAGCGGACTACACCGAATGGGAGAGGGTGTGAGAGAGTGTTTCCGTCGATAATTTCTGTCATCTATTCAAGCGCGATCATCACAATACAATATCTTGACATTCGATTTTCGATTGTTTTTCTTGTTAACGATCCTATACTAGATTTTCGCAGAATGTCGATATCGCTGATGACACGACTCGTTCGCTTCGAAATGAAGACGACGAATGGACATGGCTATGCCTGCCTTCCCATTTTCTCTCTCTTCATTTGACAAAGTTGAGAGAGGAACAAGGAAGTTGTCATACGAGTATACTGTACGATGAGCAAGACGATCGTTTCGTGATATGACGCAAGTCAATAATTACCTGTCTTCCCTTGTGCGAACCTCTGCCTTCAAAACGGAAGAGAAAGGAAGATTTCTCTTCCTAGATTTCCTAAAACCATTTAAACCAGCTCCATATTGCGGTATTTTTTTCAATATCGATATAACTTGCAGCCCTACTCAATAGTAACTGAATGTTCCAAATCGTAGCATTCATTTCCTGCCTTGTTAAAGCCCTGAGATCCTGGTAGCTCCAGGAATCACTTTAAGTTCGTGTTTACTTGGTTTCGCGAAAATTTGCCTATAAAAGTTTCACTTTAGAACCTAAAACGGTTTCAATCAGAACCTTTTTTTTTACTGTTATGTATGTTTCAGGATGTTTACACCTACGTCTTGTCTTTCATAGAAACAAATGTCAGAATTTTATCCCAGCTGGTTTAGCCACAGAAGCATTTTAAATGATCGCAATCGAAATTGAAATGGAATTTTTTTTCATTTAAAACAAATTCACAGAAGGGACAAGATGTTGAAGCATATTCGTTGGAACATACACAGCAGTAGCTCTCACCGATTTACAATTTGTTTTTCTCTGCATTTGGTATAAGCAATATATTTGAGTCACTCAGGGCGAACTACAAACTCAAAACAAACTTGGATTTTTTAAATAGAAATATTCCAGTAGGGGAAACAACACTTCCAAGTGATGTATGCAAGGAAGGAAACCCTAAAATGGGGTAGAAAACCCTCATACCCAGGTAGCACATAACATTGATTCAACGTTGATTTGGTGTGGATCGAATGTTTCACTGTTGAAGATTTATACTTCTATGTTGAATCAACATTGATTCAACGCGGTGACCATCACCGTTTATAAACCAACATTGAATCAATGATGCACTATTCACGGTGGAAGTGTCGACATTAAATCAACCTCGATTCAATGGATTCTTTCACGGTAAAAAAAAAACTTTGTTTTTTTTTATCTACGGTTAGGATTTGTTGTGTGTACTTCATCATGGTTCATTGAGTAGTTTCGGCAATCGCCCAGAATACATTACGATCACGAAAAATGCCTGATTTTGGGCAGATAAGAGGGTGGCTGAAATGACGCCTGGCCTAAAGTCTATCGCAGCAAACAAGCGAAAAGAAAAAAAATTCTCGCGAGCATCTCACATGGTGGAACTGTCTCAATACGAACGTAAAATTAGAAAAAGGAGATTCAATAAAAATCATGTATGTGCATATACTTTTAAAGCCAATTAATCGATTGACTTGGACATATTCATGTCTAGGCATTTAACTTACTAATGAACGAAAGTGCTTTTGTGAGGCTGGATCTGTGTGACATATCTCTAGGGGAGCGGCACCAGTTCGCGAACAGGGAGCCTGTTAGCGAACGAGGGTTATGAAATCAATCCATTTTCTGCAGATACCAAAAGCTGGAGCATGTAACTCGAGAAACAAAAGACCAAATTGCATTTCATGACCCTCGTTCGCTAACTGGATCCCTGTTCGCGAACTGGCGCCGCTCCCCTCTTTATCAATATATACAGTATAAAGAAGAAAATTTGTCTGTCTGTCTGTTCCTTTATGCATTCGGACCCGGCAGGAGCCAGTGCAACCAAACTTTGCATGGCCTCCTCTTTCATCCAGGGAAGGTCGAGGGCTACAGTATGTTTCGATCCAAAATTTTCACTCCCGGGGTACTTTTCCTGTATTGTCTGAGTTGGCATTGAGAGGTGCGACTAACTCCTGTATTTGGTGGTGCAGTGGTAGCATACCTGACCGACGATCAGGAGGCCCGGGTTCGATTCTCAGTCGTCCCCAGCTTCTTTTTTGTCCTCTCATGACATCCAACTCTCCCCTCCCAGCCACCTGCATTACAGTACCCCGGGGTAATCCCATGTCTGGATCACTACAGTAGGTAGCAAGTAATATCCTTTTGATCAAGTTTTCATCGAAAATATGTTTCAAAACGATAAAAGCACTTTACCAAGAAGTTTTTTTCCCTAAAAATTATTTCGAAATTATTTAAAGCGTGCAAAAAGAAATTAAAAGGGAAAGGGATCCGAGCGCATTTTGCGACACCCAAGATCGGTAACTTATAGGAGACCATAAGGCTAACGTTCCCCAATTTGTGAAATATTGAATTTCCCCGAGCAACGTCGGGTACTTTGGCTAGGCCTATATATTGAAAACACACAATGAAGCTGCGTTCGTGCATATGAAGCCTCCGATGCTTGGGTCTGAGTCCATGTCCGCAAGTCCTTGTGCGCATGTGCGGCGCCTTCTGCCTGCCTCGGGTGTATGTCTCCCTCTCGCGGAGGTGCACTTTTTTTCCTAGACATCTTCTCCCGTCGAAACTCCTGCAAGGCGCTGGAAAGACGGGTCTGTAAGGCCTCGTTCAAGGTGGACGCCTTGTCCGCTCGGCAACACAGCACTGCATGGCACCTCAACTCCTGCTTCAACCTTCTGCCTGCCTCGGGTGTATGTCTCCCTCTCGCGGAGGTGCACTTTTTTTTTCCGGACATTGCAACTGTCGGATCCATTATCGAGAACTTTCCATCCATTATCGCCCGAGGCGGGTGGTGGAAGAGTTCGGGTAGCATAAGAAGACTAAAAACAAAATGATGCGATTCGAACCCTAGACTTCCTGATTACGAAGCAAACGTGTTATCACTACGCCACGAAACTCCAGTCTGTCTCTATTCCTTTCCATGTCATCCCTAACATTACAACGGGCGAGAGGCATTCTACGAGCCACGCTCGCATTCAATCGCGTATTCTGTCGCATGTCCGACTTCTTGATTAGATTGAATAAATTATTTTCTCCAAAAAAAAATGTGAAAAAATGCTTTTTGCATCAACGTTGCAATGGGCAGTCTAGTAACCCTGAACTTGAAACCTTAGTTTCCTAGGGGTGGGGCACCTGGACGATGGAGTTTAGTGGCCCTGTGACTGTTGGATCACAAGGGCCACCAAGGTGACCTAAAGCAGGAGTTCGAAATCTGAACAAATCTACCCAAAAAAAATCGTTAAAAAATGGTTTTGCAAGCAACGTTGCAATGGGCAGTCTAGTAACCCTGAACTTCAAACCTTAGTTTCCTAGGGGTGGGGCACCTGGACGATGGAGTTTAGTGGCCCTGTGACTGTTGGATCACAAGGACCACCTAGGTGACGCAAAGCAGGAGTTCGAAATCTGAACAAATCTGGTATTTTCATATATATATATATAAATATATTTCCCCGATATAGACACCGACGTGTTTGGAATGAGGCGTTGAATCATTGTTGACAATCCATAATTGAATGTATCACTGTTGTTACATCCATGTTACTTCAACATTGATTCAACGCGGTGACTGTCACCGTTTATATACCCACTTTGGGCTAACATTCATTCAATGCTGGACCATTCACGGTCGAAGTATATGCAGTAAATGATTTATTTTTAATGCTTTCTCCATGAATGTATCACTATTGTTACATCCATGTTACTTCAACATTGATTCAACGCGGTGACCGTCACCGTTTATACACCCACTTTGGGCCAACATTCATTCAATGCTGGACCATTCACGGTCGAAGTATATGCAGTAAATGATTTATTTTTAATGCTTTCTCCATTAATGTTTGCAGCTACTTAATTACTTCAGCCGATCTACCAGGAAATATTTCTTTCGAAAGGAACGTTCGATTTTGAGCAAATAAGACAGTGGCCGAAAGGCACTCGAATTTCGTCGCACCAATGCCAGACCAGAATGGCATTTTCAGCTCGCATAACTAGGAGCAACGATTACTGTGTTAGAACCTTACTGTGTCAGACCTATTTTCCGAAATAGGCACCGACGTGTTTATGTATGCCATCAAGGGCTTGGTGAAGTCTCACTGTGCCAGTGAGACTACGTTCTCCATCAACATTGCAGCAACTTAAGACGTATGTTTTTCCTCAGACATGAAAAGGGTAGGGTAGAATTACTCGACACTCCATTTGCTCGACAGGTGGATCATTCCATTAGATGTATTTTTTTGGTACATTCAGAGGTAGATGAACTCCCAAAATGTAATATGAATCTTACCCATTATACAGGTACTCTATTGCGCATGGACAGTGGTTACACCAGAACAAGCTTTGTCCTGCGGATGAGAAAGTCTCCGGAATGACTGGATGAAGAGTTAGGATGAGAGATGAAGTACATGGTAGAAATCTAATTAAGTAGATTAATTGAAAGAAACCGAAAATTTCGGTGGTTGTCACCTAACGCGCGAAGCTTTCTGTGCAATGCCATTAGGCCAATGACCAGTCCATCCACAAGCTAAAGCGTCAGGTTTTCAATGCTCTGCCATCATAACCAGTAGGCTATGACATGTAATCAGGTACAGGCTTCATGCTTAGTGATCCTGATAATTGATTTTAGATACCAATCACTATGCATGTATATCGTATTTCCACCAACCTACTGCAAATTCTCTAATTGAATGAATTATTTCTTTCACCATTTTTTCACTCTGAAGTTTTTTTCCTCCGATCTTGTGTGGCACTTCTCACCATGGAAACCATACAATACTTTTTTATTTGCGTAGCTAATCATGGCCGGTATTGTTGAGGTTTCACGATTGATGAAGTCAAAATTATAACTTGAACTCTGTTTCATAAGTCACGCAAACTGGCCGTTTCTCACGTCCACATCGACGTTAAGATCTTCGCGATGGTGTGGTTGAACATGAAGGAGAAATGTTAGTGAATGTTCCACAGGACGGCGATGAGGCAGTTGCCGTAGGTGAAACGATTGGTGTTGGGGCGGAAAACACATTTGCAACCGATGCAATGCAAACTGCAGAAAAACGGTCCTTTGGGAAATGTTAGCCGTTGGGCCAGAATGAGTGATGAACAACGCACAGCAGTTCATGCGCCATTTTCATAATCTCATACCGGAGGACATAACGTTTTCGGAATGGGTTCATTTCAGATTATTGTTTTTCGCCTGGATGAGTATCGATATACTTCTATGATTTTAGTGATTGCTATTCTCAAGAAAATTCGATTGCACGCAAAGTTTCTACATTCTTCTGTTTTGTTGAAGGATGGCCATTTGTACACTTGATGTGGAATGATCCACCGGGAAAAAAGATTTGGGCTTAGACTAAAATGCTGCCTAAAACCAATTCCTCTTTCCTCGAGGTCCTTTCGATACCAGTTGCTTTCTGATTCATCGGTCTTTCGATCATCGATCGTTTACAGAATAGTTTTCTACTCTCATATAAAAAATACTTTTTTTTATGTTTTTATTTATTTTTTTTATGCACCCATGCATCTGCACCATTAAACGAATCCTTAGTTTTGAAGAGTCTCTTTGCGTATCTGACTCCACGGCTCATTTATTTTTCTGTGGACCTTGCCTTTCATTGAAGTTGAAGTTAGAGTAACAGATGGGTAAGTAGAAAATCCTCTCAGCTTGAGAAGCATTTTATTTCCAGTTCTGCTTTCCGATTGACATTCTATTAGCCATTACTAGCGCTCTTACGCAACCGTTGTGGTCCTCTTCATATGCCGTCTTGGCCTTCCAGTCCCTTTTGTCCTTCCAGTCCCTTTTGTCCTTCCACTCCCTTTTGGCCTTCCACTCCCTTTTGGCCTTCCAGTCCCTTTTGGCCTTCCAGTCCCTTTTGGCCTTCCAGTCCCTTTTGGCCTTCCAGTCCCTTTTGGCCTTCCAGTCCCTTTTGGCCTTCCAGTCCCTATCGGTCTCCTCTGACGTTGCTCTGTGAAACGATGATGATTTACTATACAATCTTTAATAGAAAATATCGTGGGTAAGAGGCCTAGTATATATTGGAAGTTCATCTACCCCTAATGTACCAAATAAAAAACATTTCATGGAACGATCCACCCGTCAATTTCTATGGATTGTCTACTAATTCTACCGTGCCTGAGAAAATGATGGATGGAGTTCATGAACAATTTTCTTCAATGAATTCTAACATTTTCCTCACCTCCTACTGAAGGCGTTTTTGGAATTATGTTCATTTCAAGTAATTTTTTGGCCCGGGCCAAAAAAAATTTACTTGAAGTAAATAAGTCTCTCTGCTGAGTAAGATGTGATTAACCAACGCACCAAGTTGCGTCAGCTCCAGTTCTGTCAGCTCTTCCAGGAATCTAACTTCGGGACTTCCAACCTCGAAGTCCACCAGCTCGAGTCCATCTGGGCTCTCTTCAAGACTTCTTTTCTCCTGAAAGGAAGGTGAATTAATATCACTTATCTAAAAATACGGTTCCAAGTGAGTTCCTGTGGGATGGGTTACCTCGGCGCTGACGAGAACCAGGAGAGACACCAGGAGTCCAACGTAAACGATCTTCATGATGAACGTTGTGTGTGGAGAATCCTCTTGGTGGATGCAGTTTGAGCTCTTTGGTGCCGCTTTATATACGTTTTCAGTTCCTGGTTCATGTCAAGTACGTCATAGCTGCTCCACGTAAGCATCATTTTCAAGGGTAATAATTTTCATGTTGCACCTGCGTCATTATGGCAGTCCTGGATCTGACAGAAATATGCACTTGCTTTTTTTGCCAGGGGGTAGGGGGGAGAGAGATGGAAATCCTACAGGATATTGCTTGCTCCCCTTCAATCTACACTGCAAATATTCTTTTGAAAACTTCTTGATTGCAATTGCATTGCTTATATTCTAAAACGGCAATGATTACAGTTTTAGAAATTGAGCTTTTTTCCCTGTTCTCGTGGTACGATACAAAGAAAAATTGTCTGAATTAGAAGTCAAAGTTTTCCATTCCCAAGATACCCCTTACATTATTATTTGGAATGGGTCTTGTCCCTCCTTTTTTTTTTTTAGAAGGAGCTCATGGGTTTCACTCATATTACGGAATCACAAATATAGAACTTTCCATGCAGAGTTGGAGCTATCTTATGTTCCCAAGACCCTGCTTATGATGCATTATTTCGGTATTTGTTATTAATATTGTAATATTTAATTTAATCGTATCTGTCGTATGCATAGGATTGACAAACATGCATGGAATTAATGTTTCTTTCCTATTAACCGAATTACATTATATTCCTTGAGTAACGCGAAAGTCTTATTAATAAAGAAGATAGTCACGTATGACTTCTTGAAAGATTGAGTCGAACATTAATAAGCAAGACTTGATTGACCTTTGTGCCTCATTTGCTCGACCTGAACATAGGTGAAAGTAGGCTTACGTCCTTTGAAGTCATGAAATGAGGCATTACATTGCCGCTGTTCTGGCTTCCCCGGATCTGCGATGCAGTGAAAGTTCGTGGGGAATGGGATTACCTGTGTGTTTTCCTGGTATCTTATTTCATATATGGCTGGACTCGTTTCGACTCTATTCGATATTAGACTCAGGTTTCGTGATTCCCACAAATAATCTCGTGGGATTGATCTGTTTGAATTCCTTGTTAAATCTTTTATTGAAAAGCATTTGAAAAATTTATTTGCAAGGTGTAGTTTTATTCCCAGATCTCCTAACTTAAATTGAGAACAAGAACCAACACATTAGGACAAAGAGAAAAACAGGTAACATCAGGAAACAGGGCATTGGGGGCATTGTATGGCTCACAGAAGCCTCACTTCTCAGACGCGACAGGAAGCAGCATTCGACCACCACGGAAAGTGCGAGTGAGTCGGGATTTCCCTGACTCCGCTAACCCAACGCGAGTGGCGGGGTGAAAAATGCTTGCCCGCCAGTGCTCCCTCACGTGGGACGAGAGCGCCACGTTGCAGGCGTCGTGGGTCTGCTGGTCTCTCGGATTAGACGGTCGGGCGATCGGTGTAACGTAATATCTAATCCCCTGAATATATGTCCTGGGGGACTAAATCTTTTGAATATTCAGTCCGGTGGGAAATAATATTTCAAATATTTGGTCCGATCAGACAATATATTTCATAAGAAACTGTCCCCCCTCGAAATAAAAAGTCCCTTACGCTTCTTTAGGGCGAAAGATGCCATTGACCTGATAGGTTACGCAACGTTTGGCCTTTGGCTTTTGCCTTTTTCCTAGAGGTCTTGTACAGGTTTAGTTACTAAATCGACTGCGAAGTGATATAATGGAGAAAGCACACATCCCTTTCAGATTCCTTTTCACATTCCCTATTTTTTGCTTTTTTAAAAAGTGACGAATATCCAAAGGCTATTCAAAAAATGAGAAGTGGGCACTTTGTTGTACCAAATTCTCTTCTTCGATCAATTCCGATTACCGGTTTGTTTACAAAAAAAAAAGCAAAGTGTTCCGAGTCTTGGTGTAAAACTGAAGTAGTTGCCGGTGTTCAGAAGCTGAAAAGAGATACAAGAGGGCCTTCAGAGCAGCTCATCAAGGGAGGATATGATGATTGCCATCTGTCCAGAAATATGGATGGGCCTTATTTCGTTACCAGAACTGGATGAAATAAAAAATGTTGTTGCTGTTAGCTCTTTTGCAAAATGTGCTGAGGCTGAACGCCTTCAAGACATAATTGCTTCGTCAGTCACTCGGTTCCTGTCGACATTGGTTCCTGCTGATTTGTCGACATTGATGTCCTCAAATTCCCAGTAATGATCAGTTTTGCGAATTTTGCGAACTCGCTGAGCTAGGAACTTCACCGAATCACTGGCGTGAAGCAAAGCATCTCACCAGTCACCACAGGCAAACGTCTTATGCTAGAGGCAAAACCGAACTACTGATAGTCTCCTAAAAGTTCAGAAGGAAATATACAGAGTTAATATTCAATCATAACTTTCCATTTTTGCTCCGACAATCATGAAATTTTTGGTGAGTTATTCAGCATACCTAGGTAGGATGGCTTATTTCAACGGGGGCCATAATATTTATAATATCCCGTCCGGAGGGAAGAAATATTTGCGAAATTCGGTCCGAGGAGCACGTAATATTTATAACATCTTGTCCTGGGGGACAGGGGACCATATGTTTCGTCACATCTGCTCGAGGAGGACATTGCCTCTGCATGGGATCCAAATCTTCTCGGCGGACTTTCTGGATCAGTCGTGCTCATTTCGTCCACATTCTTCAGGGGGCTCGTGTCCGCGCTAGGCGAGCAATTATTCCTTTTGTTCCTGGTTGGAGCAACTCCTCGAAGATTCTTCTGATCGATGTCCGCCGACTGGAGGACTTCGGAATCATCCTCGAGACCATTTTTTTCTCGAATAGGCTTTTCACTCGTTTAAAAATTACAGTTCTATGTGATTTCCCGTAGGATGGGGTAGCTGGGTGAGGACAACGTAACGATCATCATGATCACCAATCGTGATCATGGTGTCTCATCTAAGATACTGTGTGAGCTGTTGAGTGCCAGATTTGGTACTATTCCTGGTTTTCGGGGTGATAGTGCGTCGTCGCCATTCATGCATTTCACCCTCGACCTTTCCCACTCTGCACGTGGATCGTTATGGCATTTCACGGATCTGGCTGGATGGGACCGGGGATCATTAGCAGATCTGCATTTCTGACATCCGGAGTTTTTCCTGTGTATATAGGACAAATTCTTGATGGATAGCGTCTAATGCTATCCACGCATTAACATGTTTGGAAAAAGCCTTAAAGAAACCTTTTGGGAAGCGTCATTGGATTCTTCCATCTTCTTTCTTGACCGACTCTGTAAAGAGCGAATTGCGGGTCTGCAAGACGTTTATGATTTTCAGTGAATTTGTTTTCGTTGGGCAAAGTAGCAAGGACTTCTGAATCAGATCGGGATCTCGAGTTCGTAGTTACTCGTGCGACCATTCCAAACAATCATGAATCAATCATTATGAATAAATTCTGCGTCTTGGTTGAACTTCCTCCGATGCCAGATCACGATCGGGGCCGTGGAAGATGCTGTGGAAAAGAGCGTTATCACTTATCATCTTCCTCAGTTCTGACGGAATGCTTCCAGGTTGTGGTTGGTTCCAACGGTTCTTCATCCAATTTCCTTGAGGTACGATCGTTTCTAATACTTTGAGACGTAATATCGGGCACGGGATGCTGAATTGAACGTTTTTAAGTTCTGGTCGAGACGCAAGAGGCACATGTGCCCATATTGACAATTCCACATTGAGGTCCATCTTCTCCCATCTGGCCCTATCCTCTAAGCCAGAGGTGCCCAACCCTTTCGGGTCGAGGGCCACGCAGCTCACTCCCGCAGTCATTGTAGTTGTATTTTCTGTAAATGAGAAGTTTTAGATTCTCGTAAAAATCATACGATGAAGTCTATTCGCCGCTGGAAAATGAATGCTGGAATATTTTCAATTTTCGCCGTGTTGGGTACTCTGAATCTCTAGGCAGTGGTGACCTGCCTGGATATCCGTTGCGACCGTGTAAAGTTGTAAGCTGCAATCGGCTGAAACAAGAAGCAGCGCGTGGAAATGGTTGAGACTCGTTCGCGCTGCTCGGCGAGATTTTCCCAATCACGTGTGGTAGTGATGAAAAATTTGTAATGAGGTGATTTTTCCGAAAGCCAGATGTCATGTTTATCATCTGTTTGAGTTGGGATTTTCCGAAGTAATTGCTGAAACAGTTGCATTACGGGAAACATTGACTGCAGCTGCGCTCTGACGTGGCATATGAACGCAGCCGGGCGAATGCAGATAAGTAATCATATTTCTCTGGTGAGCAAAAACCGAAAGAAAACCGTTCGTGATGTTACTTTTTCGGTGTCGCTTGCTATTCAAAGACAATATTATATAGGTGTGACATTTGGTCTCTCCCTTTTTTTTTTTAACTAACTCAATTGGAAGACCGGTTCCCCGGATGATTTATTGGGGAGGTTTCGTCGCTTCCGCAACTTCGATACATTGAATATGATCAATCCTTCCAGTCGGAAAATTCAGTTTATTTCTTGTTCTGCTTTTCGTTCAGCAAAAACTAACCGAACGATAATACTAGCGCCCCGATGGAGCATTTGTTGCTCTGGGCGCTTTGTGCGCTTTCGTCGTTTTGGACGTTTTCCTCGTTGTAGGCGTTTTGGTATTTCCCTTCGGTTTGGGCGTTTTGGGCGTTTTGGTATTTCCCTTCGGTTTGGATGTTTTGGGATTTCCCTTCGGTTTGGATGTTTTGGGATTTCCCTTCGGTTTGGATGTTTTGGTATTTCCCTTCGGTTTGGATGTTTTGGGATTTCCCTTCGGTTTGGATGTTTTGGGCGTTTTGGTATTTCCCTTCGGTTTGGATGTTTTGGGCGTTTTGGTATTTTCCTTCGGTTTGGGCGTTTTCGTTGGCTTTGGCGTCCCCGTCGGTCCACGTCTCTGCCTCACTTCTGCAAAATAATGAAGAATTACATGGCAGCCTTCCTGGATTCCTCGTATTCGAGAGTGCACGCCTTGCGTTCGTGAATGCTCAACGTTCGACTTTGAAGATATCGTGAATCTCAGTTCATGTTACGTATACAATTATCCCTTTCGTACCTGGTAGAGGCAACTCCAAGTCTGCTAAAGCGA